GGGTAAAAATGCATTCAAAACATAAAATAGACCTCTGGATTTTACTGCAACAGTATATAAATTCCCTGATAACAATTGAGTCAACATTGGAACTAACCTTTAGGAAACTTCTATTTGTCAAGTTTTGGTGAGATATCAGGAAAGAATGTCTACAACTAACTAAAAAGGTACCCCCCTCCCACCTTTCCCAAATACTTGTCTGCTTGAAAGCACAGTTCTTCACGTACTGCAACCAAAAGTTCAGATTGAATGAAGAAGCGGGCCTGAGAATTCAGCTGTCTTCTCTTAAATTAGACACTATAACTAGATTTACAAAAAATATAAAAACAAAGCTTCCTTTCTTACTTAACTTTAAATTCTGAAGTTATTTTTATTAAAAATGTTTTTAATAGTAATAACTTTAGACAATTTTAAATGAGTAATACACATTTTAAAATTCTTTGTTTTAATTTCTACTGACAATACCAAGATAAAATCCATATAACTCTTTGGAGTCCTTAATCTTTGAGAGTGAGCCTAGAGACCAAAAGTGTAAGAAGCACTGGCTTAGAGGAAAAACGTGAAGGAGAAAATAAAAATAGGTGAGAACATTGATCCAGAGTCAGATCCTCAGCTGCATTTGGGGGAATGAGGACTTAATGTTCAGTGACACTACGACTTTAAAAACTAACTAACTAAATAAATAAATAATTCAGGAGACATTTTGGAAGCAGGTATGGTTAAGATTTGGGGTGAATAAGATGAAGCTTCAAGGTAATTTGTATGGTGATCATGTGTATGTACCAGACCAGAAACCAGTTATTGACATTAACACATCAATTTTATGTATAGCTGTTCTTCTGTAAACATTATTTTGGGAGATTCAAGGAGGAGGGGGGACAGTGATGCCTTAGAAGCAGCCATAAAGAAACAGGAAAATACTTGTAAACAGAAAGCTTTGGGGCCAGAAGTTAGGCATGAAACACATCTTCCATGACATGGGTAGGGAGAGACAGAGGATGACTTTTAACATGACAAGGCCCTATCTTCACTTAACAGACTAGATTTAGAAATACTGTCTTGGTGATGATTAAGTCATTTGTTCAGTGCCACATGGCTAGTGAATGGCCAAACAATGCCCAGAGCTCTCTAGAGTTTGAAGAAGATGAGAATGAAAAACAGGCATAGCTTGATGGAATGACTGTTGGTAATCTCCTGGGGTCCTCACAGCTCTCAATCTGGTTTTAAGAAGAGGGGATGATTATGTAAGTATGATGATTGCAGTAAGTGTGGGCCATGCAGGAACAATTTGATAATCAGAAAAAGGATGGAATTTGTTCTCTGAAAGGAATAGTGAATTCAGAAAGTTATGTAAGGCAGGAAAATAATAATCAGAAAGCTGTTGCTAGGTAAGAAAAATATAAGCAGGGATATAGAAGATGAAAGAATATAAAGTACTATGAAAGGTGGTAGAAATAATGACCCAGTTGGATACAACATCTCATCTTAAAGATGTTTGGCTTATCAGGTGTTTCTCACACATACCTTCGAGCCTCATTAACCTATAAGAAGTGGGTGGTGGCCACTTCACTGATAAAATGATTGAGAGAGAGATTGACACTATGAGGAATTCAGGATAGCTTTAGTATAGAGATGTCTTCTCTTCTGAGATTATAGGGAAGGACAGTGTTTCAGTGGTGACTACATCACCATTGCAGAGCTGGTTAGAGTATGGACTGCTCTGAGTGTTCATGCCACAAATGTGGCCCAATAGGTGTGAATAACAGAAAAAGAAAGATCCAAAAAATTCCATTTACCTTTCTTCACATGGTTAATCCTCAGGGGTGTAATATCAAGGATTCTATGAGGACATTATTGGAAGGAATATCACTCTCCACTTGCCTAGTGGGCTCCTAAGGAGTGTGAAGCCTGTTATTTTCTCAACTCCCAAGTTAAACATCATACATTCTTTGGACATATAAATCTATGAGATGTAAAGTGTCACTAACATATGTGGTCTTTGTACCCAGCTCTTATCCCACTGGTAAAATAAGGTTCACCTATTATTGATGAGAGATTTCATGTTAATTATATGAACGAAAATAGATTCTCTATTTAGTATCTCATTGGATTATGGTTTGGGATTAAGTTTGTGGGACATCCAGGAGTCAGAATTAGCTTACCATCATATCTGTTTACATGTCATTGTTTGATGATCTATTAGGGAAGTAGAAATGAATTTCCATTTCACAGTGGAGCACATCTGTGTGAGTTCCCAGGCTAGTCATCTCTCCACTGTCACACTTTGCCCAAGACTCTTTATGCCAGAATGAAAGTTCAGTGAAAGAAAAGAAAAATTGTGAACATCTTGACATTCATTAGGAATTGAGACTGAAAGGGATTTCTGAGAGGAAGGTCACTAGGTTGACATTTTAGAAGAGAGAATAATGTGAACAGACAGTTGGGAAGCGTTGTAAGAAATAAAATTGCAGTGACTTAATGGATACTAAAGCTGAAATAGTGTCATCTTGAACTCTGGTAGGGTTTATAGAGCTTGGATGGCAGCAAAGCCCATGTTGAACAATGAAGAAAACAAGTTTATCACGAGTTTGGATTCCACCTATTAATTCAAACATTAAACTTGCTATTGCCATCGCTTTCTGCCTGTGTCAAGGTTGCAGGACTGGGTCACTAGCTATGATGGGATACATACACATTTTAATAATGAGTTAGAGAATCTGGACTCTCTTCAGACGCAGTGCCTAAGCAGCAGTGACTGCTGGAGCACCCTCCTTCTAGCTGACACAGCAGGCAGCGCATCGGAGCGAGCCCCAAGTGAGCCATAGGCTGTGGCTGCTTTGTTGTCAGGGTGAATTTTGTAGCATCCAAGCCTGTGCAGCTGCTCTCTGCCTCCACAGCAGCTGCCAACTGGGAGTAGTTTCTGGCCTTTTCCCCAGTGTTTCAGGTTGAACTAGAAGTTACACATTCTGGGGCACCGTCACAATCAGGTAGCAATATAGAGATTGTTTCTAAAGGAAAGGGGGGCCATGGAGTAAGAGGAACTGCTGAGTTTTACCCCTCACCCACTTCTTCCCCTTCTCATCTGCATTCTGTCCTCTCCACAGGTCAAGCTGCCATCTAAGATAAGTAGCTGCTCCCCTGAGCTCTGGGGCAGGACTGATCGGTTTCTGAAGTAGTTCAGCCTGTGGGTGTGCCTGGGTTGTGCTGATTTGGTTTAGTTCCTGCCTGCCTTTCTCAAATGTCCACAAATCTTGAGAATCAAAATGTGGTTGTAGATCTCTGGTGGGAAGGAACTTTCTAGAGTGGCTTTCAGGGTGTGGTTGACTCACCCTGATGACTCTCTCACTCCTGTTGGTTTGGGGCCACTGCCCTTTCATGTTATCTGTACATTTTCCTAGAATAATTTTAAAAACATTCAGGCGCCTTCCCTGGTGGTGCAGCGAGTTAAAGTGCAGCACTGCAAAGCTGGCCTCAGCTGCTTGAGTGCGAGTTCGATCACCACCCCAGAGGTGACCCCTGACCCACATGGTGTGGCAGACCTCTCCTGACCTGCCCGTTGCTCCCCTCAACATTTATTTCGTCAGCCGGCCTGTACTGCTCCCCACTCTGTCTCTGGTGAATCCTCTCACCGCCCCCTGTACATCTGGCCTGCACCACAGTTGTGTATACATAAATCTTAAAAAAAAAAAAAAAATGTGCAGGCTGACAAACAGTTCTTCTTACCCCATACACTAGGTGGGTCTCTTACTTGAAGCTTGCCAGTCTAATTTCCCTTGTAGCTGCCATCCTGGGAGAGTGACTTAGTAAACTTACCATTGAATGAAGATAACATAGATGATCTTAGCTCTGTTATTTTGACTTTTGTGGTTCCTTACATAAGGCAAAGTCACCTTTGAACTCTGATGATGCTACTGTAGCTTGAAGCTAGGGAAAACAGGTCCATGAGTATACAGGTTCAGCTAAAAGATGAACAAGGAACAAAACATTGAAAGATTCATGACTATTTTACATGTTACATATTGTTTTAAGTTCTCACTTGTATAAGCATGGACTGTATAATACCTTACTTAGGATGCTAAGGTGTACGAGAGATGCCAAAATTATGCAGATATTGAATATCATTCTGCTAGTCATAATTAAGTACCCTTCGGCTTTTGGACACAAGGTTCACCTCTAGCTCAAGACTTAAATCAAACCCAACTTGAAACTACCTGAAGTGCAAAGAGGCGAAAGGCCAGAGAAAGGCAAGGCTCCTGCCATCTTCAGGTTGACCTGTCCCCAGCCTTGTGTGGAGCAGTGCAGGGAGCACAGCCGCGCTTTCCACGCCCCCACGTTGCCGGTGCTGTTCCTGCACTGCCGTGCTGGGTCTCCAGTGATGTACAGGGTCCTGTCTCTTGGGATACATTTTACTGGGATTTAAAATCTTTCAACGTGGATTCCTGGTGATTGACCCTCGAGTTGGAATCTTGGTTTGGACTTCCACTGCTGTGAGATAGGCTGTGTTTCCACAGGAGCAGTTATGGCCCATCTGTTTAATAAGGGCTTGGGTTTCAGTTTTACCCCAACGTCTAAGTAGCCTGGACCCCTGCCAGCCTGCCACTTACGGTGTACTCCCTTTCAGTCTCCTGTGGGCTTTGGCCATACTGTGCTCTGTAAGAGCCAGATGAAGGGTAGCCCTTTTTTGCCTCTTGGTGTCTAAAGTTCCCATTTTTCACATGGCATGGAAATCGGAATCACTATCGCATAATGACGCCGTGTTCTCTGACTCAAGTCAAATACTTCACCCTTTGCACTAGGAGTTTCTCTTTTACTGTTTTCTTAACCTGTCACAGCCTCTTAATTAGAATGTGTTGCTCAAGGACAGGCAGCATTGTCAAACTTTGTGAATTTTATAAAAATACGCAAAAGTGCCAGACAAGCAGCTGTAGTGCCAACTCATCCAGATGCGATACTGAAATTCCCCAGAGGGGCATCTTCATTGTTTTCTTTCTTTGTTCCAGAAGCAAAGACCGATAATGAACCGAGCTGTTCGCCGGCAGCTCAAGAACTGTTGACAAGGCTGGGATTTTTACTGGGAGAAGGGATTCCAACTGCTACACACATAACCATTGAAGAAAAAAATGAAACCATGGTAATACCCCAGGAAGACACTGCATTTCATACCTGCTCAGAGGATAAATGAAGGGATAACCATCTTCTCCCCCTTCTGGGCGGGGAAGCCATTACGCAGTCAAATGAGTCTGGGCTGTTGTGCATCGAAATTTATTTCTACAGTTTGTACGTTTTTGCAGTGGGAATGTGAGGAGAGGCAGAAAGGTGCATAATGTAGGAAAATATCCACATTAGCCTTCTAGTCACCACTGGGGAAGAGTGGCTAACAGAATTAAAGTGGCAGGAAGAAATCCTCAGTGTAATATGACTCTTTATAGCACCATTCTTCTCATCTGGCTGCTTTGGTGTGTGCTTTCCTGGGCTTTTTTAGCAGCTGAGATTTTGGAGGGTCAGTGGGGTGAGGCAAAGATTTATAGCAGATGAGGCAGAGACAAAATAAGATGAGATCAAATGGTTCATCTACTTGGAGAGCACTCACCATCGTAGGGAGCAGCAGCCAGCCACTTCCGAGTTGTGTGTGTTTGAATAGCAATGAGGGGCCTGAGTTTCTGACCCCTGCCAGGGTCTCTGCAAGGGTGTCATGTGTTGATTGAGATTGCAGTGGCCACCAGTCTCCTTCCCCTGATCACAGTGCCCATAAATCTCCAGGAATTGAATCAGGTTGCAGTGCTTGTAAAACATGACAAAAACCGAATGCCCAGCTTTTCCATATAGAGGTCAAAGAACCCATTTGTCTTCTGCAGACTTTAAATGAAGGAAGTCTGCCTGTTTACGATTTCGGTTTACAGATGTGCCTTCCCGCTGAATTATTTCTAAGACTGCCCCTATTAATAAAAAGCAAATTAAAGGAAGGGGAACAGAATTTCTCTTTTAAAATTTGGAAGATTATATCTCTAGTTCTTTATATTCAGCTCCCTCGATATTTAAGACTGTTTTCTGTTTTCCTGTTGTGAGTTTTATTGGTATAATGTCAACAACAAAAGAATGTGTGGCAGTGTCCTGTGTAAGCCGTGCTAACTCCTCCTTCCGTTCGTCTTGCAGTGCACAGCTCTGAGCCAAGGCATCAGTCCTTGCTCCACACTAACAAGCAGCACCGCATCTCCTAGCACCGATAGCCCCTGCTCAACCTTGAATAGCTGTGTCAGCAAGACGGCAGCCAACAAAAGTCCCTGTGAGACCATTAGCAGCCCTAGTTCCACCCTGGAAAGCAAGGACAGTGGAATTATAGGTAAGAAGCACACGGCTCGGTCATGTCACAGCTCCTTGCACGTCAGCCAGAGCATTCTCTAGGCACTCCTTAACGGGTTTAGCGTGGTCTGTGAAGGTTGTCTGCCAGAGCCCACCCTGTCCTTTGCAGATGGCACCGGCTCCTGGTGCAGTCCAGAGAGGAAGCATCTGCTTTTACATTCCTTGGTATTTATTTGATATCACTGGGCTTATTTGATAAGACAGACTCCAGATGAAATCTGGCCTGTGAAATTATAAAAATCTTCCCTTCTCATCAGTTAGTTGCATTTGTGGGGGATCCAGACCCACAAGTACACATAACAGGACCATGAGGACATATAACAGTAACAGGACCATGAAATAGCTGCCTGAATTGAGAAGTCCTCTCAGCCTGACCTTAACATCAGCTGCTTCTCCTTAGGCCTTTGTTTTTCAGTTTAGTTTTTTTTGTTTGTTTTTACAGTAAAGGCTCACCTAACACCATCAATAGGTTCTTGGGAACTGACTTTAATAGCTATAATGTGGAATCGTTTTTTTCCTCAGCGATGTTTGAATGAAATATGTTTAGCCAAATAGTGGTATTCAAGCACCTGCTTTACACTCATGCTTCACATGACATTTGACAAGAAACAGCATATAAGATGGGGGTTGCTTAATGTGGCCTAGGTGTGTGGGAGGCTATACCATCAGTTTTGTGTAAGAATTCTATGATGTTTGTACAGCGAAACTGCCTAATGAAGCATTTCTCAGTTTGTATCCCTGTCATTGTCATGTGACTGTAATTGGATCTGACCACTGCTCTAAGGTTAGGATTTTCTAAGGATGCCTCTCCCATCCCGTAAGCCCCACCCACCACTGATGGTCAAAGGACAAGGATTCAAGGCCTGGCTTTTAGGCACTAACTAGTCAGTAGGTGACTTGAGCAATGTTTAATTGAGTTCTTTGTATACTACTTTCCTTCTTTATGAAATTAAGGATTCGGCCCTCTCTGGTGGCACAGTGGGTTAGAATGCAGCAGTGCAAGCTAGCCACAACCACTTTAGTGTGAGTTCGATCCCCAGCCCAGAGGTGATCCACATGGCACAGCAGACTTCTGTCTCACCCTCAGCAGTGTACTTCATTGACCTGCCTGTTCTGCTTCCCATTCTTTCTCTTATGAACCCTTTCACCATCCCTGTACCTGTGGCCTATACCCCAGTTCTGTATGCATCAAAAAATACATCTTTAAAAAAAAAAAAAAGGATTAAAGATTCTTTAGTCCAGTAGTGTCTAGTCCCTTCCAGAGTAATCCAGAGAATTAAGAACTCATATTTTCACATCTCAGCCCAGGCAGACTTACATTGATTCTTCTGAAGGTGGGCCTGAGTTCTTGAGTATCAAGCTTGGTGATTTTTAGGTACAAAACGTTTGGGGCCACTGGATGGATTGCTCATCATTGGTTAAAGATGGAGCTGTTGATCAGCAGCCACTTAACTGAACCATGGCTGTGTCCTTGAGGAGTATTTTATAATTTATTGTGAACTGAACCTCATTTCCACATTAGTCAAATGAAATCACATTTGAGCCCATACTTTCTCAGGCTACCTGCAATTTCAAGTACCATCTGAAAAGTCAAGTTGCAGGTTTATCCAGCTTGCATTTTGGAGATTGCCTCGGAAGACCTCGGGGTTTCAGGGGAGCAGGTTGTGGGTTTCCTGGTCTAGATCTGATGGTAGCTTTGTGAGGGCCCCCTCAACATGAGGGAGGAAAATGATGGCCTCTTCCCTCAATTTGAACTTGCTCAGCATCTCCAGTGGTTTTTGTTTTGCTCAATTTGATTTATTGAGATACAGTTCACATATTATACTTACCACCCATTTAAGCTATTGAATGATATATGCAGGGTTGTGCCATCATCCCCATAGTCTGATTTTAGAACCTTTACATCACCCTAGAAAGCAATGTTGTAAACATTAGAAGCCATGTTCTACTTCCTCCACCCAGTTCAACCAATAATATGCTTCCTGTGTATACTACCTCATTCTGAATATTGCATATAAATGGTTGATCAAGGATTTTTTTTAGCAGATTTATTTCTAATTCTCCATTCTCTTCTCACTCTGCCTCTGTTCCTGCTGTTTGGATTAGTTCAACTAATTTTTCCTTTGTTACTTCTGTTCTCATGCCCTGTCTCTTCTCAGCCACCTACTATTGCTAGATCTTTGGTATTCTATGATAACAAATGATTTTGTTCCCAGACTTCTTAGCTGCTCTGAAATATCCTCTCCTCTGTAGAGGTTATCCTTGCAGAGATAAGGAGTTGGCCAGTGCTACAAGGTTTCTTGTTGTGACAGAAACTTTTCAGTAACGTAAAACCACCCTCATTCTCTCATCATTCATTCATTCATTTCTATTGTTGAAATTTCAGTGCTTGTAATTTCAAGTGTTCTGAAAGCAGCAGTGTCGATAAATAATTGAGCTGTAGAATAGACCCTTAATTAGTACTTAATATTGTTCCACCATTCCCTGTTTAGTCCCACTGTGCTTTCCAAATAGCACCTCAATATTTTTCTTCCATTTATTCTTGTTTTTTTTATGTAACTTTATTCCCACATGAAAAAGTGTCTCATTTATATTATTTTTGCTACCTACTGGGCTCTTAACACAAAGTTGGGAATGAGAAATTAACTGTTGCTAGTATCAGGTTGCATTGAAGGAGAGAATGTTAGTTGGTTTATAAAGAAACTTCAGAATTCCCATTCTCATTTGATATTGTCAGATCTTTTTAAGGTGCGCCTTGTAATCAGTGTTAAATTATATTTTTACGTCATTGAGGCTGCCCCTTCATTCTTAGCTCAAGCCAACATATTGCCTTGACATGAATAGTGGTGACAATCAAGATGAAGAGGGGGGCATGAAGAACTGCTTATTACGTAAGCCCCACTTCTAGGGAGACAACCCCCTCCCCCCCCCCCAGCTTCTTCTGGTGCTCTCTTGGCAGGGAGCAAGGGCCATAGGTGGCTGCGAGGGGAATCGCCACACCAGGGACAAGGCTCCATTGTTCTTGCTCCTTCCATGACTGCAGAATTAGAATCTGGTGCCAGAGAACACACTGGAGGTGTATAGGGAGGAGAAGAGAAAAAGCCTGTATTTCTTCTCTAGGCAGGCTGTCACCACAGATCTTTGAAGAGGCAGGAGTGGTGGTGCCTGGGGAGGAAAAGTGCTTCCTTCTAAGTCAGTACAGGGTAGGCAAGTTCCATTACCTCTCTGAGGAGCAACTCAGGTGTGGTTCTGTGATTCCTGGGGGTGGGGTATGTGCTTTTTCTACCTGAAGAACATGCCTGTTTTGAAAAGGTGTAGCCTGGGAATGGCAGCCTTTGGGCATCTTAAATGTTTAGCAGGGTAAAATTATTCAAGAATACAGTGATGCTAGTGGCCAGAGATGAAAGTAAGATAGCTTGGCTTCCTGCTCTGGAAGGCCTGGCAGCTGCTTGTAAAATAAGCTTGGTAGGATCCATGTTCCAAATTTCATAGGGTCTGGAGAAGGGACGAAACAGCTTTCCATTTAATTTTCCATTTTAAGTTAAGATTTGTCAACCCAGAGAGCTAGGTTTGGAGTGGCAAAGGTTTTGGGGGGTGGGTGGCATACAGCTCACAGCTGCCATGGCATTTTAAGCACCAGGTAGCTGTCGGCTCCTACAGAGCTCAGACTGGAGCTCATGTACAGTTTTAGCAGTTTATTTTGGGGCATTTAAGGGAAATTTCAAACCGTGCTAACCCATCTTTTAAAAAATTCCTGGGCTCCTCTTAGTATTTTAGCTGTCTCCCACCATGGTGACTATATTTAATCTAAATATTTTTTCAGCAGATGTTATGAAGGGAAGCTGTGTCCCCACAGGTCTGGACAGCGTTAGGGTTGTCACCGCATCCCCTGCCTGTGTCTTGTGTCCACTGGTTTTGGCACATTACTGGTATAGAGTTTTTTGTTTTTTAAAGGAGCTGCTTAGTAGGAAAAAAGGGAGGCTAAAGACTACAGAGACTTTATGGGGCCCTCCAGCCTTTCTCTGTTTAGGGCAGAGCTCAGCAGATTCCTCGCTAGCCCTTGTTCCAACCTTACTGTGCTTTGCATAGGGGAGTCACACCTTATCCTATTTCAGGAGGTTTAGGTTCTCCCAACATAAATGTCTTTAGAAGTATAATAATTCTGTCATGTAGAAATATTGACTAAGCTGTATGGGATTATCTGAATTCCCTATGAATATCTTCTTTATTTTTAATTAAAATTCCTTACTCTCTACACATAAAAATCATTGCCATTACCTAAAAGCTGGTGTCTGACATGCAAAGTGAAAACCTTCCAAATGTGAAACCTAGACGCACCCAATCACCATAAAGCAGCATTTACATTACTTGCTTTGAAAAGGAAAACTCCATAGGGAATTAGCTGTTAGAGGTGTTTCCTCCATGCCTGAGAAAGCATCTTTTCTGAGCGATGTGCCTTTTGAATATAACTTCTTCCAACTGTTACAAATGGAAATTGTAGACTGGACTAATCAAATCACACGTTAGTAAAAATTACATATTTGTTGGAATGTGTGTGGAAACCAGTGTGATTTAACAAAGCATCTCTGCCAATAGTGGACCTTAAAACATTTATCATTTAAACACTGTTCTTTACTGATGTCTCAGTTATGTTCAACATTTTTATGTGTGTATGTATCTGCTTCAAAGAAGTGGGCTCTTTCTCTCTTTAAGAAGAAAGAGGATATTACATGAAAAGAAACAAACCAAACGTAGCTTTCTTATGACAGTCTTAAAATTAGTAAGCCCAGGGCCCTCCCCGGTGTGCAGTCGGTAAAGCGCAGCACTGTAGTGCTTGCCACAGCTGCTTCAGCACAAGGTCCATCCCCGGCCAGTGAGGTGATCCACATGGTGCAGCAGACCTCTTCTCTCTAGCCCGCTGCACCTCTCAGCAGTGTACTTTGTCAGTCTGTCTGTTCTGCCACCCACCACCCCCCAGTC